GATCTTGCAGTTTAGATGGTTTCAAAGCGTCATCGCCCAAAACTTTGTTGCATAAAAGGCACATAGGCGATTGTTTGTCTGGCAATGATGGAATGAAGCCAAATTTCAAATAATCAACACTGTACTGTCTACATTTCTTTTTAGATTCGGACATGGCATCAGTCATCTGTGGGCAAAATTCAATTATTTAAATAAGACAGAAAATCCAGCAGCTGTATATTAAAAATATTTTTTGATTTTTCCGAAAACATTCCATAATTCGAACATCTTCTTGCAACAATTAGCTCGAATTACGGAGATTGCACTGTAATTATATTACCGATTGCTAAAACTTTCAAAAAGAAACTATTGAGGAGTACTCATGTAACTTTGCATGATTGAATATTTAACTACTAATAACTAAAGTCATGATTGGCGTAATTTATCTATCTTTGCTAACTACGAGTACAAAACTAAAATTTAATAAAAAATAATACACTTTCTTTTCTCCAGCAGTCTCAAACAAAATAACACTGACTCACTATAATTTGTGTGACATACTATCTGTTTATATTTTTTAAAATATTTTCTTAGCACTTTCCTTTTCAAGATTCAGGAAACGAATAAACGTATTTGTCCCACATTCGTATTTATAGAGTGAATTGAACAAGTCAGTGCAAGGTAGCGAAGCTCTTAGACTGCTCTCAGGTTTTTACAAGTTCAAAATGTATTGCGACCACAAAGCGAATACCAACATCCTACAACTTACACAATTTTATAAACATATATAATAAATTGTTAACTTCATAGGTACTTTTATAAATAATGTATATGTTTTGATATTATAAGATAGTATGATGTAAGTAAATAGGTGCTATCAGTGTATGTGTTGAGATCCACTATCGCGGACCCCCATATTCATTTCATGGACCCCCAAATTTTTTTTCGCTGACGTAGACCCCTTGCAGGTTGTCATAGACCCCTAGGGGTCGATATAGACCACTTTGGGAATCAATGCTCTAGAGCAAGGATTGGCAACTGCTTACGGCCCGTGACGCTCTCTGAATGATATATGCCTAAATATACTTACTAAATGAATAATTGATTATTATAATTACATAAACAAATACATAAAAACGTTTTATAAAATGGTTATTTTTATTTTATCGTTATTGTTCGTCATTTTTTTACAAATAAAGTAATATAATTCATTTTCAATTCCAGATAGCTGGCGCTCCTTTTTTGCCACCTTGTGTCAATTGGCTGTCAAAGGTTACCGACCTCTGCTCAAGTTTACAAAGTATAAAATAATAATAATCGTCTTTATTTCTAATGATTATACAGGGTGTTCCTTAATGATATGCGAATATTTAAGGGTGTGAATCTACATGAAAAATTAATGTTAGTTTGCTTTATAAGCTATGGTCCAAAAATATTTCCTTACAAAAACTCGGGGTGTTGAAGTTTTAGGACAAAAATGGAAATTAATTAATATTTTCAGAACGGCTTCAGATATTTCACTGATATTTAGTACGTAGTAAAAGTTAATTAAGTTGCACATTTTTCAATGCAAAAATAATTTTTAGCTTTAACAGTGGCGTGCGTACTGGTATTGACTTCGAAAAAATGGTACGCCAATGGTTTTTTGTCAAATAAAAATTATTTTTGAATTCCCCGTTCAATTTAAAACAAATGATCTGTCTTTAATTGTTTTCCTTCGATGTGCTATTTTTGAGTAAAAAAATAAAAACCGTTCTACATTTCCAACAATCCAACTTGCTATTCTGGCGGCGACGTTCACCATCAAGCTCTTTAACAATGCGCTTGACGGACTCTTCGAACTCGTTATCTCCTGGTACCATCTGGCGGACTCGGACCTAGCTTTTATTTGTGTTTTTAGCGGGTTCGAATTCTAAGGCCCAGTAGCGCAGCTCCTAGCTTAGGTGGATGTACTAGTACTAGTAGTAAGGCTTGCCACATTCCACCATCACGAAGTCCACCCAGGAATGCTTGAACTGCCAATCGCTCTATTATTCTTTCCAGGACATCCGGATATGCTAATCCTACCAACCGCGCAATATCCGCTCCGAACTCCTGCAACGACTCGCCTGACTTCTGTAACCGATACTTTAGTTGAGTATGGTAGACATCTCCAAATGTCCTACTACTCGTAGCTGTCCGTAGATTTCTTGCTCTTCGGGTGATATTCTTTGAAGAATAGCTGCAGTATCTCTTTGCAGTCCCAAAGTGAGTGCAGTTGCCTTTTCCGTCCATGACCAACCATTTGCATTCGCGGCTGCCTCAAACTGACGCCGGTAGACATTCCAAGGCGTTGTACCACCAATTTGCGGCAGTTTCATTCGCAGATGACCAGTTGACCCAACAGCAGCTTCAACCTGACTTGATTTTTCCAACGGAAGTCCACGCTGTCGTTCGTCGATGGTCTTGACGTCTAAGGCAGAAAACTTGCCATGCAGTTCTTGAGTTATCTCCTCCAAATTTTCTAAAATCCGTTTTTCCAACTCGCAAAATTTTTCCATAATTTTATCTTCCAATTCTTTTTTCAAATTGGCGGTATTATCCAAAAAATTATCTTCTAATTTGGCTGTACTTTCGCGCAACTCCAAGAGTTTACCTTCTAGGCTGGCACAATTTTAAACGAGCCTATTTTCTAACTTGGCTGAGTTTTCTAAAAGATCGGCACAATTTTCCACGAGCTTTCCTTCTAGGGTGGCACAATTTTCTACGAGCTTGTTTTCCAACTTGGTCGAAAGGCTTTGTAACATTAAACCAATATCCCCTGCACCGGTAGAAATGAAAATATCCGGGTCCTCGCTTCCTCAATCAATGCTTTACGAAGCCGCTCTTGCAATTCCGCTTTCTTTCCTGGCGCGATTCCCAACAGATGGCGCTAGTGTACCATTCATTCTTGTTACAGTATGTGAGAGCTGAATTCTTTAAGTGTAGACTCACCTTAACACCTATCGGCATACTGATTGCCTGTATTCTGTTAAGCATAGGCACAGATATACACCAAAAACACTAAAGTAATGTCGCCTTTCTTTCTAGGGATGGGTGTTCCGCATGGTTATTACGTAAAAAACCCATATAATGTCAAAAAAAATCGGTAAATTGTCAACTTTTGCACTAGGTAGCCGCTAGTTTACTCCGCGCCTACTACAATGACGTTGAGCAGTGAATTTTAGCGAGTTCAAAGGTGACATTTTATAGGAAAAGCTACAAACATAATGCCAAGAAAAGAACCTACATAATGTCGTAAAAAACGATATAGTCACCTTTTCCATTATGTAATACGAGAGCCGATCACCCAAGAATATCAATCACTATTTGTTTTACCATATAATAATAGCATGGTACGAAAACATGTTGCACCGTGTTTGTCGGGCTTTAGCGATCAGAGCAACTACTTTCAGTGATAATCACGTTATCCATAGAGCGGATGAATTCATTTCTCTTCATCAACAGACATAGCTACGTCGTTTTATATTTTGTTCTGATTTTGCAACCAATTGGAGTCTGGATGCATGTTAATTCCATGCTAATTCTTGGCTAATGCAGCACCTATGCAAGAGCCCAAAAAAAAAATATGAGAAAAAAGATCACGTCGATCCTTTGCCGGCTGCACATAGTCACGTTAGCATCGAATGACTGTTTGGCGTATTCTTCCCAAATTCTTTTGGGATACCTACATCTCGCACTTCGAGTTAACTTAAAATCAATCAAGTAGCCACTTGTGCAAGAGTGCAAGGATTGAGAGCTGCAACTAGTGATTAGATTCAGATAGGTACCTATCCTCTTTCTACGCAGGATAGATGCTACAATTTTTCTTTCTAAGATTAACTTCAGATATATAAATATTAACACGATTTTTGGTGCAAGGTCAAATAAGATTGAATTTCGTTAGCATGCAGTGAAGTATTTTGGTTTGTGATTATGAACGCTGCCAGGGGGTGACATACACCACCAAGAATAAAAATTTGGGATTGAATTTGGAGGCAGATGCATATGTATGCTCTTCCAAAAGTTTTGAAAGGAGGAACTTTTACACAGTTTTCTTTCTACGAGAAAAAACCATTGCTCTGAATGAAAACCATGGCACCCCATGAATTTGGTGACATGTCTGGGCCAACATTACTTCTTTGGAATCTTGTACTTATATAATTTACGCCTCCTGATTGGCGCGCGACGCTCGGCGTTCCGACTGTTCCCGACCTACATAATCATAGCATTCTAAATCAAATCCAAGCGGATAACCAAAATTTCCGTATTATGTACCGCGGTTATAATATGGTTCAAGATGACACACGGGATGGTGACGTCAGTTACTCGAATCGCTTGAACGCGTTGGTTTTAACCGCGGTTTGTTGCAAGTTGTTTATTTTAGAAAAGCGTGTATATAATTTCTGATTATTTTTATTATCACTTAATAATCGGTGCTTTTTCGTCTACAACGGGGTAGGGAAAGTTGAAAAAAAGAAAACTTTCATAATACTAATGGGAGGAATGTTTTTTTTTCCGAAAAAAATTTTTACTGATGGAAGCATGGCTTTGTAGCTATGATAACTTTCAATTCTCTAAACTTTTCCGCATGTCAAAGAAAATATTTATTGATTTAGCAGAAATGATGGAAAAGCGATGAAAAAAAGATATTAACAAAACAGTATACAGGTGGACATCATCCGGTGAGTTTATACGGCCTTATTTTAATATTCTTGTGGTATATGGCTATACAGGATACTTTTTTAAGTGTAGGAACTAGATTTAAAGTGTCCCCAACAACAGTGATGATTATAAATAATAAGGTGCTCTCTTATGCTAAAACTGAAGTCAGCCTGTATCAAGTTTCCCAAAAATGAAGCTGAAGTACAATAAAAATATCCAATACCCGGCAAAATTCTAACTTGTCACATAACCAGAAATATAAAACTACTCCGGAGGTGGGTAAATACCACAATTTTGCGGTGATAACTATGACATATAACAGCTGATTCATGACGTCACGGATCTTATAACCAATCTGATAACCACACTCGCTTGAACGGATCGGTAAATACCAATCCAAAATGGTAAGTACCATTTCCATTTGGTTATCCGCTTGAATTTGATTCTAGTTGTCAAAGTCAAAACAGATAACCTTATTTTCCAACTTTTCAGATGGTCAAAGATTATTATGCATAGTAGTTCTGATAGATTATGTGCTGTAATTAAAGCAAGGTGACGCCTTGTTACTGTCGACTGAAATGTGAAGTATAAAGCTTAAATGAATATTTTTTTATACAGAACTTCCCTTTTCTTAACATCTAAAATATTGAAATCAAAAAGTATATCTGTTGCTGGCTCATGCGCTCTCCATATTCATCAAGGAAAATACTTTTCAACAGAGATGCGTGACAGGTAACACCATTGAATAACACGTAATAGCAATAGAATCTGTATTTCGTTTTATTATTTAACAGTTCCAGCATGTTGGAGAACAAGGATATTTTTAATGGGAAAACTGATCGCTATAAAGGAGTTACTGTTCACTCAGATCAAGAAAAATGTAATGACATTGATGAATTCAAGTCAAGGTTACAAGGTACACAAAAAGTTTACTGATAAACTAGTTGCAGATATGGGTTTTATTATTTTCTACAAAAGAAATTAGTACATGTTTATACAATATATGAGTAAGCATTATCATTTAGTGTATATGACAAGGTTTATGCTTATGACTATCATTATGACAATTTGTGTATTTGACTATTCAAATATATAAAACCACAATTAATAGAATAATATTATATATGCTTTCTTAGAAAAATAAGACAGCACCAAAAAAAAATAGTCAGTATTCAGAGAAATTCTGGATGTCAGTAAATTACCATTTATTTTGAAATTACCTTTTATATTTTTTCACTGGTTGGGATTACTACCTGCTAATCAGACACCCCTCTATAAATAAAATTATTATAATATTGTGCTCTTGGGTGCAATAAATGTATGGTGCCAGAGAGTGAAAGACAAAAAAAGAACAGCATGATTTAGGTTGACTCTACTCTTCCCACAAAATAGTTAAAAAAAATAATGTATGCTTGGCAAAAATTAGCCCCTTTTTTAAAAAAGTTCTGCACTGTATATATATGGGACTTTGAAGTTGAGTCATTAATTTTCAGATAATGATTGTAGAAGGAAGATAAACCAAAATATGTGTGTAAAAATAAAAAAAAATTTACCTTGTTTGATAAAGTATCCTCCCGACAAGTATTTCAGTGCGGACCTGTATTTGATTGTGAGGTCTTGGAGCACCGGCATGCCGTCCCCTGTGAGGTCTTAAGTCACCTGATTCACGAGCCCGTTGTACTACATTAACAAAGGCATGAGGGGTTGGTTGCACTCGATTGGGAAACCGATCCGCATAAACATGTGCCATTTTTTATTCACTCACGCGTTACCGACTGACACTGACTGTATCCAACTGAATAAAATAATTGTAAAAACATCGTTCCAAATTCTTTCGCTTTTTTGTTTCCGATGCGATGAACCGATAAGGCGGATTATATCTGTTGTTGCCAAACACGAGCACATAATATTATTGAAGCAGGGCGCTACTCAAATTTCCAAAGGGCTATAACTTTGTTACTTTAATTTTACCAGAAAAATGGTAAAGGAAAAAAACATTTCTTTTGATCAGATCTACTCACTGTTAAAATAAATGACTCAACTTCGAAGTCACCCTGTGTATATATATATATATATATTGTTACATTGAATCGAAATCCCCACCCCTGCAAACATTCTTAGCTAACCTGTGTTTGATAGCATGTGTGTTCACTAAAAATATAATAGTTTACCAAAATACAGAAGTACCTAAGGATAGGCAGATAAATAGACAACTAAATATGGGAAATTCACAGAAGGTATTGACTGTGTGTGAATATAAACCTTACTAACAGGAATGTATACTGTTGAAGATCCAGCTACATATCCATTACATTTCATACCTGTATTACCAGTGGCAGTCGTCAGTTCACAATAAGTGTCATTCACTAGTTATTTAAGCAATATCTTTTTCTGGTGGAACATATTTCTATAAATTTTTGTTTTTGCTCTGTATACATTCAAGAGATTTTTAGCATATCTCTCACATCATTAATGTTTTCATTGTAGATTCACTGACATTTTGGGGTAAAAATGGAAATAGAGCAATATGGTTCAGAATATGTTTAGAACATGCTAGTTGGGTTCCAGTACTAGCAGAGGTTTGTTATCTGTAACCCTAATTTATTTTGCATTATAAGTATAACAGTTTACATATAAACAATATTTTAGATAAATTTCCTCAAGTTACCTAGAAACATTTGAGAGAGTAGGGCATTTTGAAGAACTAGTACAAATGCTTTTCTCATAAATATGTAACCCTTAATTTGATTCATAGCAAGGATTCAAATTTCACCATGCCAAAGAAGACTATGTCATGATGTACAGATGGTTACCAGACACTGAAACCAGTAATATACCATACTATGCTCACACTATGTTAGGAGTTGGAGCAGTAGTAATGAATGAAAAATCACAAATATTGGTTGTGAAAGAGAAAACCAAGCTTACAACTATTAGAACGCCACATTGGAAGTTGCCTGGTGGATATGTAGAACCAGGTAAGTGTTGGTATATACAGGCTTGATTGTAGTGCTCTTACTATGTTAAAAATGCAGGATCTTAGTATTACACAAAATACCAAACATCTACACATTCTGTTTTCATCAAGCTTCTTAACGAGAAATTAATTACAGTCTAGGTGCATGGCTGATGACATATAAAACAATATCTCTTTTAAGATGTGCCACGCATATTGGTATTTAACCTATAAAGCGTAGTGGGAACATCTTATTGGCAGGTTATATGGATGCTAAAAGTGTGGTGAACTGGTGAACAAGGCATATTTATTGGTGTTATATGATGCTATATGCGCGGTGTTGCTATGAACAAGAAGTTTCGATTACGAGCATGATGACACTATAAACACAAGAGACCAGTGACTCGCAGTGGAGGATCTTGATTGAACAACTCTAAAAAAACTAAAAACCTAACCATGAAGGCATCACATAATGAGCGCCCCGTTAGGACCCTTATTTCAATATTCAATCGCTCCGAAATTAACCTTGATGCTGCATTTGCGTGGATGGTTTGCGAATAAAGATGTCGAATATTATCGATTTCTGTATATGTACTTAAAGCAGAATTTCGAATATTGGGCGACTATACTTGCGCAACCATGCCATACAGCAAAATACATCCGATTTTAAAGCTCATGTCTCATACAGTTCTAGTCTCATATTAAATAAGTAACAGATCCAATAACTGTACCATGTGTGCAGCTTAACTTTCCTCAAGAAAATTGCATACTGCACAAGCTGACCGCTAATGCAGATGCACTCTAATATAAATGGATAATATAGGACAATTGTTTTCATTTTCTTTTTGAGAATACTTCAAAACAAATTTTACCACAAACTGTCGATATTGTCCACTAGTAAACCCTATTTCCCAAGTATTCATGTCATCTTACAGTCTAGGTAGTTTCAGTTTGCAAATAGTTTATTCCACGTTTGCATGCTATGATCGCTATTCGATGACGTTTAAGCAACACATACAGCTACAAAACGAGTTCACAATAAGTGTACAACAGCTTGTATGTGCTAAGTTAACATCTTGTAGAACAACGAAATGTCACTTTCTAAGATTCGTAATACCCGTGCGGGTACGGAAAACAGAGAATCAAAGTAATCATTTCGTGCTCAAATAAATAAATAGTTACTTTTGGTCTGAAGACACCCTAGCTAGTAAGCATACATAAATCTGCTCATAGAGAGAATTTGCATTTTAGGCCAGGAAATAGTTTTTTTCCTAGTTTTAGCGTCAGTATTTTTTTGAGGTATCGTCAGATTATTGCTTCCTACTGATAAGTTCAAATTGGCGTCCTGTTAGGGCAGGAGCATTTGCCGCCATTTTGGTAAACGCTATCGATAGAAAATCTAGGAAACTATCGATCCTATGTAAAAAAAAGACTAAAAACAATTATGTAGGTAATTAAATTCTTTTATCGTTTTGCTTCTATAAAAATTTGTCATATAGTTTGTGCCGCGTGGCATACTCCGCACTCTACGCACGTTGTCCACGTGTCATCATACATGTTTTCACACAGGGATGTCTTTATCTATGATCAATTTTAAAGCAAACCAATTTGTTTTTTCGTCACGCGTAAGTATGGAAAATGTAAAGTTTTGTATAATTCATGCAGTCATTTTGTAACTACGTAGTCTAAGCACTCGTTGGGACGATTTTAATGGAAATGAAGTGAAGACATAAACCAGCATTATCTACTACATCTCCTGTCCCGATAAGATCCCTGCAACAATTACTAAAATTACTTACTGACAAAATCGCCAATAGACAGACTGATGGGAGTTAGTCACTTTTAATCTTCATAATGAGAACACCACAAAATATTACATTTCCCGTACTTTTACATGGCAGTAAAAAATGGATTCACTTCAAAATGGTATCCTTGATCATAGATAATGATTATGAAGTTATCTCCACTTGGAATAATATATGCGCATACTCATTGTCCATGTGGACAACGTATGTTGGGTGTGGAGTATGTAAGGCGCCAAAAAACCTTTTTTGTAGCAAATTTTATTCTCTACAAAAAATGTAGTGTTTCGAACTTTAAGAATCTTAGTTTAGCCATTATAAGCGGAAATATCACATGTACCTTTACCTTTCAGTTTCTCGTAATAATTTTTTATAGAAACAAAATCATCGATAGTTTTCGAGATTTCGTCGAAACAGCGGCAAAGCCCATCATGCCGTTTGCTTGTAACGAGAAATGAGCGTATAGCATATCTGGAATATATTCTCCAGCATAGTGATGCTAATCCTTGATGGAAAACCTTGAAACATCTGAATGCATGTGTTAGTAGTTATACATCCCTTCCTTCAAAGTTTTCTGATCACAAAATTATACTCTTTTATAGACGATTACCAATTGTGATGAAAAAATAAATTTTTATAGCAACAACTTACAACTTACTTTTTGATTTCGTTTAATTACTATAGAGAAGGTTAACAAGTATATTATATTAATTATCTTAATACTGATTCTTTTGGCCTTGATAATATGAATCGAAAGATGCTGAAAATTTGTAATTCATTTATCGATGTTTGTTCATATTATCTGTTGTATAGAAAATTAATTTTCTATGGAAGACTGCTTTAGGAGCACCGATTCCAAAAAAGGCTAAACCAGACAGTCTTTCTGATCGTATTTAGCTGCCCACAGTATTTGAAATTTTTGAAATGCTCATGTATTCACAAATTAATGAATATTTTACGGTGAATCAACTTTTACCCGAATAAAGTGTGAATTCTGTTCTGGTAAAAAGACTGAAATAATAATAATAATAATAATCGTCTTTATTTAAACTGTACTTCATACAGAAAAACAAGAGTTGCATATGGTGGCGAAGTTTAGCAACATGCTACTCTTACACTTAACCACCCATGCAAAAAAAACAAGTTGTTAAGTAGCAGATATCAAATAAAATATACATATACATAGTCATGCCATAAGTTCTGTCCCTCGTTTTCAAACAAGTATAGACCTGTTAATACTTGTCCGATTGTTTACATTGTGGTGTCAGTTGATTAAGCGCTTTTCGGGTAATTACATATACCTCAGT